ATTCGAAATATTTCGGAAAAAGTGTTAACTCGGCCATCTTGATTTATACAGATAAATATATCTTGGCTGCTATAACACCTAGATATCTCGTGTTTGGACTCATTTCAAATGTTTTTTTAATCATCTGTCATTAAATTATGTTTTCGGCCATCTTGAATTTTATAAAAAATTAAATTCGAAATATCTCGGGAAATATATTAAGTAAATAGGCAGTGTTTGGATTCATTTTGAAATTACTTTTTCTTTAAATTCTTAAAATAACAAATCTCGATTAACAAAACAATAAAAGAACTAACAATACACCCTAAATATATCACAAAAACACTTTCGATATCATTAAAAGCGATTTTTTTCGGGTAAATAATACTTTCTTGGTGAAATTCTCGCATTTTATTCCATTTAAATCGATACGCTCGAACGACATCGTTCCTCCACTTTTCCATTAACCCAGAGGAATGAATCAGTTGTAAATTTCGGTTGATTTGATCGGTTAAGGGGTGACAACGCTTCAAAATTATAAACTTTATTAACGTATCAACAGGAAAATAATCAAAATCCTCCAAATCGATCGTTATTAAGTTTATGTAATGCATTACGGTGATGAAATTTCGTTTTTGAACGAACATTTCCAATAAAACGTTGTAATTCTCGTGGATTTTAATTTTAAATACAGCATTATTTAAAAACGACTCTTTTAAATTGGGGTTGTTCACCAATAAATAATTTAACGTCGAATTCGTTAAAATGATGTCGTGGTCTGAATCGATTGCGTCTTGAATCGATTCAATTTTCGTTTCGTAAAGTGGTTTTGTAAAAAAACTGTATAAATGGCCGTTAATAAACGACATTTTAGTGATGTTATAAAAAAAAATTAAAAAGATTACGCTAAATTTTGTTGTTGAAGTTCGATTAAGTTTGTTTGAAATCAATAATATTAATTTTAATGTTGTAAAAAACGAATTTTCGATCATTTTTAAACCGATTTTTTCGTTTTTAAACGTTATTTCGTCCAATAAAACATAAATAAAAATCATCGAATCAATCGCAATCAAGAACATCAATAATTCCGATTTTAAAATGGTTATAAATTGTTGAAAAATCGGTACAACATCGGGTTTCGGGGCGAGCATAAAACTTCCTTCAACACTCGCATATTCGGTTACATCGAATAAATCGAACCAATTTTGGCTCGAATAAGACAACGTTACGAAATTACCCATGTAGATGTCGCTTACGTTTAATTCGAAACGTTGGATTATTTTATAAACGGTCCCAATTTGGCTTATTTCTCTGATAAAAGAATCGTTTTGCGGATTAATACGAACTTGAATTTGATATTTCTCAAAAATCGTTTTCATTAAACTCATAATCAACCCAGGATTTTCTTTTAAATTGTAATCGATCGCCACCGGGGGTTGATAACTCCAAGAGGCTCGAATAAAACAATTTTTCGAGTCAAATTTTAAGTCACAGTTATTCGTAGAGATGAAATTTTTTATTTTAAAACAATTAAAATTCTCGTTAAAATCGATTTGAACAATTTTCGTTTTAAAAATTAAAACGAATTTAAATATTTTATAAGTTTCCCATAAAATCTTCGATAAATCCTCAATTTCTAATTTTTCATTTATAAAAATCATAAAAATACTTCTACAATACACCATATTACTCATTAAGATATCTTTTAGAATCGTTTTTAATTCGAATAATTCGTCGATTTTTATTAAATAATTGTTAGCTTTAAACGGGCCGTTAAAAACAGGAAAATCATCAAAAACATCCGTGTTAATAACACTTGTAACTCCAATTAATTGATTTTTGAACGATTTGAGGCAATTACTTTCTTGTTGAATTCGTAACGTTGCGTTTAACAACCCAAAAAGGACGTATTTTGTGGCTAACATTTCTAAGTTTATTCTGATTCGCTCAAAATCTTTTTAAAGCATTTAAAGTCGTAAAAAAAATGTTGAAGTGATTGATGTGGTGTTATATCGAAGGGAAATTAAATTTTTTGTTGTATGTATCGATTAAAACGTGAATTAAGCACAAAAAATGTTTTTTTAAATGAAAAAAAATTGTTTTTATATAATTATATAATTAATAAAAATTTGGGATGGTTGATGATAAAAAATTTGTTAATTTTGAGGTAGATTATTAAAAGACGATTAAAATGAGTCCAAACACGACGTATCTAAGTGTTATGAGAGTCGAGATATCTTTGTTTTTAAAAATCAAGATGGCGGAAATCAAACTGTCAAATTAGCGCCATCTACATCTTTAAATGTAAATTTTATGATGGATATAAAGTGTGATACATCAAATTAGGTTAAAATTTCCTGCTCTTTATGAATATTTTATTCGTTTTGGCGATTTTGAAAATTTTTAATAAAATTAAAACTTATTAATTAAAAAAAAATTAATTTTGTGATATCCTTAATCTCAATGAAAAATCCTTTAAAATAAATCCAAACACGACCTATTCGGTTAATGTATTACCCGGGATATTTTGAATATTATTTTTGATAAATTCAAGATGGCCGAAACGAAATGATTTTGAATAGATAATGAAAAAACCTTTAAAATGAGTCCAAACACGGCGTATCCAGGTTATGTAATATCCAAGATATCTTTATTTTTAAAAATCAAGATGGCCGAAACCAAAAATGTCAATTAGCGCCATCTACATCGTGAAATGTAAGCTTTGTGGTGGATATAAAGTGTGATACATCAAATTAGGTTAAAATTTACTGCTCTTTATGAATATTTCATTCGTTTTGGTGATTTTGAGCATTTTTAATAAATTTAGAATTCTTTATTATTCACAAAAAAAATAAATTTTGTGATATTCTTAATCTTTATGAAAAATCCTTTAAAATAAATCCAAACACGACCTATTTAGTTAACATATTTCCGGAGATATCACAAATTTTATTTACTATAAAATTCAAGATGGCCGAAAAGTAACGATTTTTGAGTAGATAATGAAAAAACGTTTAAAATGAGTCCAAACACGGCGTATCTAGGTGTTGTAATAGCCAAGATATAATAATTTAAAAAAATCAAGATGGCCGAAACCACCACTGTCAATTAGCGCCATCTACATCTTTAAATGTAAATTTTATGATGGATATAAAGTGTGATACATCAAATTAGGTTAAAATTTCCTGCTCTTTATGAATATTTTATTTGTTTTAGTGATTTTAAACATTTTTAATTTAAATTAGCGCCCTCTTTATCTTTAGACCTAAATTACATGATGGATATAAAGTATAATGCATCAAATTAGGCTAAAATTTGCTGCTCTTTATGAATATTCCATTCTAATTTATACACATTAACTTTAAATTAACACTTATTTGCAACTTGACAACTTTGAGAACCATTTAAGATTTAAGAAAACAGCCAATATTAATAAACAGTTTCATTAATAAAACAAAAGCATCATCAGCAACTGACTTTTTGCTTTCTTAAGCTCTAATAGTAATTTAACCTCTCACGTCACGTCCTATTTTTGATGTTCAACGTTGGAACATCAAAAATAGGAGAGTAATCCATAAAATTTTATATCTATCTTCGTGGGCATCAAATTAAATTGAGGTTTTGAATTATTTTCTCATTATTTTTTAATAAAATGTATTAAAACACTTACTTTGTTATCCCGAGAACCGATTTAGATCCAATTTTGAATTCACCACGTTGATTTCCACCGATTTTTTATGGAATTTAAATCGCGTCTCACCAAAAAGTGTCAATTAATGATGCAATACAAACAAACCGTTGTTATCTAACTTACCGACGCGACTTGTCATTTGTAATAAACTACACTTTTTAATATTATTATAAACAATTAATTGAAACACTTAATTTAATACCCCCGGAATCGATTCATAAAGATTATTTGATTCCCCAATGCGTTTTTTCGATTTAAAACCGGTTTCAACCCAAGAATCATTGAGCCACTAACATAACACTATAGATCGACTTTTATTTCGAAGTAATTTTCGAGCGATTTTATTTTTATTTATTAACAAAAATGGTTTTAGTTGACTTAATTAAGTGTAAATTAAGTAAGTATTAAGAAATTTTAAAAATTTAAAAACGAATTAATGAGTTAATTTTTTAGTAATCCATAAAATTTTATGTCTATGTTCGTGGGCATCAAATTAAATTGAGTTTTTGAGTTATTTTCTCATTATTTTTTAATAAAATGTATTAAAACACTTACTTTGTTATCCCGAGAACCGATTTAGATACAATTTTGAATTCACCACGTTGATTTACACCGAGTTTTTATCGAATTTAAATCGCGTCTCACCAAAAAGTGTCAATTAATGATGCAATACAAACAAACCGTTGTTATCTAACTTACCGACGCGACTTGACATTTGTAATAAACTACACTTTTTAAATTAAATATTATTATAAACAATTAATTGAAACACTTAATTTAATACCCCCGGAATCGATTCATAAAGATTATTTGATTCCCCAATGCGTTTTTTCGATTTAAAACCGGTTTCAACCCAAGAATCATTGAGCCACTAACATAACACTATAGATCGACTTTTATTTTCGAAGTAATTTTCGACCGATTTTATTTTTATTTATTAATAAAAACGGTTTTAATTGACTTAATTAAGTGTAAATTAAGTAAGTATTAAGAAATTTTATAAATTTAAAAACGAATTAATGAGTTAATTTTTTAGTAATCCATAAAATTTTATATCTATGTTTTCGGGTGTCAAATTAAGTTACAGTTTTTCACAAAATTAAGTGTATACTCATCAAATACTATAAATATCATTAATTAAAGCTAAATTTATCATCCGCGGATGATGAAATCGATCAGGAAGTTAAATCATTCCTCGTCTAAGCGATGTTTTGCAGAAATAAACAAATAATGAGGGGTCAAAAATTGAACTCGACCTCGTTTTCAATCATATCTCAAAATTTACCCAAAAATTAGTCGTTAATTAAGATTAATTTAATTTTTTTTTTAGATTTGCAATATGGAATACGATAATGGGATCATCTCTGCTCGCAATGGCTTGGGGATTCGAGCGCTCCGGGTTAATTTCCGGGATAATTTTGCATATAATTATCTCCGGGATATGTTTATACACAGCCCAATTGGTGTTAAATATCGGAAAGAATTATGGGGCGATTGGGAAAATAACGGAGGTGCCTGAATTGTGTCGGGAATTGTTGGGGAAATGGGCCGAAGTTGTGGCAAGGATTTTTTCGTTGATAGTATTAGTTGGGGCCAATATTGTTTATTGGATTTTAATGTCGAATTTTTTGTATAACTTCGTCGAATTTTTATATGGTAACTTAATAATTAATTTAACAGTGCTAAAACCTAATCTTTCTAGTTCTAAGTAAAAATATACAACAATATAACGTTAAAACTAAAATTGACAGAAAATTCTGCCTATATTGATGTGTTATAATAATATGATGCAGTTGAAACTAAACTGAAAAATGACAAACATAATATTTTTTGCATATTTGCTACTATAACCAAAGAGGAATGCAATGCAGCTCAAATTAGCAGAGTCAGAAGTTCTGCTCAACTCAAATTTTGCAATAATTTAAAAAAAAACTGGTTTCCAGAAAAGTTGATATGATGGGGAATGTGATGTAGTTCGAATTAACGTGATCAGCAGTTCTGCTCATATGGAAATATGCAAGAATTTCAAAAAATTGTGGTTTGCAGAAAAGTGGAAGGCGGCCAAAACAATTTTCGTTCTACATTTATTACTTATAAGTGATGAGGAATACGATGCAGTGCAAACTAAATTGGTCAGAAATTCTGTTCAACCAAAAAAATGCAAAAATTCTAACCAAATAGAAAGTACCCAAAGATTTTTTATCATATTTGATGTATTAGAAATGATGAAAAATCTGCTACAATTCAATATTAAATTGATTAAAGATTCTGCTCAACCCGAAATTTGCAAAAACTTATGGAAAACTGCTTCTCTAATCCCATAGGAAATGGCAGAAACAATTTCTGCAATATTTGTTGTTTTAGACGTGATGAGAAATCTCATACAGCTCAAATTACACTGATTAAAAATTCTGCTCAGTCCGAAATTTGCAAAAAATCATGGAACTTCATGGATTTGTACTTTCGTACTGGTTTTATTGTTAATAAAAATCCGCTTTACATGTTTCGACCTTACAGGGTCATCTTTAAAAACGCTAAAATTAATCAAAGTAAGATTTTGTTCAACCCGAAATATGCAAAAAACTATGGGAAACTAGTTTTGTAATGAAATAAGAAATGCCAGAACGATATTTTTGTAATATTTGCATTTTGAACATTATGAGTAATCTGTCGCAGCTCAAATTAAACTGCCTAAAGGTTCTGTTCAACCCGAAATTTGCAAAAAATCATGGAAAACTAGTTTTGTAATGATATAGAAGATGGCAGAAGTATTTGTTTTAATATTTGCTGTTTTAGACATGATGAGAAATCTCATGTAGTTCAAATTAAGCTGATTAAAGATTCTGCTCAACCCAAATTTTGCAAAAAATAGTGGAAAATTAGTTTTCTAATGAAATAAACAAATGTCAGAAAGTTTTTTTGCAATATTTGCATTTTAAACATAATGAGAAATCAGCTGTAGCTCAAATTTAATTGATTAAAGATTTTGTTCAACCCAAAATTTGCAAAATTTCATGGAAAACTAGTTTTTTAATGAAATAGGAAATGCCAGAAGGATTTTTGCAACATTTGTTGTTTGAGATATAATAAGAAATTTGTTCCAGTTCAAATTTAATTGATCAAAGATTTTGTTCAATCCGAAATTTGCAAAACTGCATGGAAAACCAGTTTTTTAATGAAATAAGAAATGCCAGAAGGATTTTTTGCAATATTTGCTGTTTGAGATATAATGAAAAATGTATTACAGTTCAAATTTAATCGATTAAAGATTCTGCTCAACCCAAATTTTGCAAAAAATAGTGGAAAATTAGTTTTCTAATGAAATAAACAAATGTCAGAAAGATTTTTTTGCAATATTTGCATTTTAAACATGATAACAAATCTGCTGCAGTTCAAATTTAAGTGGTTAAAGATTTTGTTCAATCCGAAATTTGCAAAACAGCATGGAAAACCAGTTTTTTAATGAAATAGGAAATGTCAGAAGGATTTTTTGCAATATTTGCTGTTTGAGATATAATGAAAAATGTATTACAGTTCAAATTTAATCGATTAAAGATTCTGCTCAACCCAAATTTTGCAAAAAATAGTGGAAAATTAGTTTTCTAATGAAATAAACAAATGTCAGAAAGATTTTTTTGCAACATTTGCATTTTAAACGTGATGAGAAATCTGCTGCAGCTCATATTTAATTGATTAAAGATTTTGTTCAACCAGAAATTTGCAAAACTTCATGGAAATATTGCAAAAAAATGTAAATATTGAAAAGACATCCTTCTGCCATTTCTTATTTTATCAGAAAACTAGTTTTCCATGATTTTTTTGCAATTTTCGGATTGAGCAGAATCTTCAATTAGTTTAATTTGAGCTGCAGCAGATGCCTCATCATGTTTAAAACAGCAAATATTAACAAAAAATATTCTGCCATTTCCTATCTGATTAAAAAATCAGTTTTTCAATAGTTTTTGTAAACTTCGGGATGAGCAGAATCTTTAAGCTTTAATATTTGATCATTTCTAATACATCAAATATGAAAAAAAATCTTTGGACACTTCCCATTTAGTTTGGAGAACCAATTTCCATTGAATATTTCAATTTTTTTGGTTGAAAAGAATTTCTGACCAATTTAGTTTACACTGCATCATATTCCTCATCACTTATAAACCTCTTCTTCTTCCAAGAAGAGTCTTCCACTTTACTGGAAATCAGAATTTTTTGAAATTCTTGCATATTTCAATATGAGCAGAACTTCTGATCACTTTAGTTCGAACTACATCGCATTCCCAATCACATCTAATACACCAAATATTAGAAAAAATCAATTCTTTTGCAAATTTTGATATGAGCAGAACTTCTGACTCTGCTAATTTGAGCTGCATTGCATTCCTCTTTGTTTATAGCAGCAAATATGCAAAGAAAACTACTTTTGCCAATTTATATTTTTATACAAAACCAATTTTTGCAACTTTCAATATGAGCAGAATTCTCTATCAACTCTAATTTCACTTATTACTATTATTCAGCGTTAAATACACCAATAACTAGAAAGTTTCGGGTTTAGCCGCGCATTTTCAGATGTCACAATCATTTTAAATCATTTCAGAGTACATAGTTTTACCGGAAAACCCCGAAAATCGAACCGTTTTATGCCCCAAACACGAAACATTCGCAACAATCAAAAACAACTCGATTCATTCAACAAGAACAACGTATTTCCACGAAATTTGGGACCTCAACAAAACCGTCCCTTTATTTTTAGCCCTACTAATGTTTCCACTACTAAATTTTAAGAGCCCAACTTTTTTTACGAAATTTAACAGCTTAGGTGATAATATTATAACATTAATCAAAAACATGTTTTAAACATTTCGTTTTAGGTACATTGAGTGCTTTATACATGGTAATTTTCGTTTGCGTTAAAGCATATTCTTGGGGAATTAACGATATGGATTGGTTGGAGGAGTTAAATTTTAAACCATCGTTTTCCGCGTTGAGCGGAATGTTAGCTTTGAGCTATTTCATCCATAACATAATCATCTCCGTTATGAGAAGCAATCGAAACCAAGAAAATAACGTAATTAACTTAATTATTATCTTAAACTCTAATATTATAAGTATAGGGAAAGTGACCAACTTAAATGTGGGGGGAAAAAAGTTACCAGATTTAGGTTGGTATTGGAAAAGTAACTAGATGTGGTGATTTTTTTTAAAAAAGCTCCATAACCGGCATTATTATACTATCTTATCACCTAAGTTTAGTTCGTAGAACCTAATAAGTATCAAAAATGTTTTCATTTGATACCAAACATGATATATTTGGATTAAAAAATAAAAAAGATAGGTTAGAAACTGTCAAATGTCAAAATTAAATATAACGATTTTTTGAGAAATATTGAAATGAACCTGATAAGAATCAAAAATGCTTTAATTTGATACCAAACATGATATATTTGGGTAAAAAAATAAAAAAGTTAGGTTAGAAACTGTCAAATGTCAAAATTAAATATAACGATTTTTTTAGAAATATTGAAATGAACCTAATAAGAATCAAAAATGCTTTAATTTGATACCAAACGTGATATGTTTACGTTTAATTAAAAATAAAGTTAGGTTATAACTGTCAAATGTCAAATAATCGCCATTTTTTTTTGTTAAAAATTAAGATATCTCGATAACGGTTAGAGATAAATAGGTCGAGTTTGGGTTCATTTTAAAGGATTTTTAATTTTCTATCCATTTATGAAATTATCTTAATTAGAATCAAGAATGTTTTCATTTGATACCAAACATGATATATTTGGGTAAAAAAATAAAAGTTAGGTAGAAACTGTCAAAATTAAATATAACGATTTTTTGATAAACATTGAAATGAACCTAATCACTATCAAAAATGCTTTAATTTGATATCAAACATGATATATTTGGGTAAAAAAATAAAAAAGTTAGGTTAGAAACTGTCAAATGTCAGAATTAAAATAACGATTTTTTGATAAATATTGAAATGATATTGATAAGAATCAAAAATGCTTTCATTTGATATCAAACGTGATATGTTTACGTTAAAAAATAAAAAAGTTAGGTTATAATTGTCAAATGTCAAATAATCGCCATTTTTTTTTGTTAAAAATTAAGATATCTCAATAACGGTTGGAGATAAATAGGTCGAGTTTGGGTTCATTTTAAAGGATTTTTAATTTTCTATCCATTTGTGAAATGATCTTAATAAAAATCAAGAATGTTTTCATTTGATAACAAACACGATATATTTGGATAAAAAAATAAGGTTAAAAACTGTCAAATATCAAAACTAAATATAGCGATTTTTTGATAAATATTCTAATAAGTATCAAAAATGTTTTCATTTGATACCAAACATGATATATTTGGGTTAAAAAATAAAAAAGTTAGGTTAAAAGCTGTCAAATGTCAAAATTAAATATAACGATTTCTTGAGAAATATTGAAATGAACCTAACAAGAATCAAAAATGCTTTAATTTGATACCAAACATGATATATTTGGGTAAAAAAATAAAAGTTAGGTTAGAAACTGTCAAATGTCAAATTAATTACAACAATTTTTTGATAAATATTGAAATGATATTAATAAGAATCAAATATGCTTTAATTTGATATCAAACACGATATATTTGGGTTAAAAAATAAAAAAGTTAGGTTAGAAACTGTCAAATGTCAAAATTAAATACAACGATTTTTTGAAATATATTAAAACGAACCTAATAAAAATCCAAAATGCTTTAATTTGATACCAAACACGATATATTTGGGCAAAGAAAATATCAAAGTTAGGTTAGAAGCTGTCAAATTAAATATAACGATTTCTTGATAAATGTTAAAGTGATCTTGATAAGAATCAAAAATGCTTTAATTTGATACCAAACATGATATATTTGGATAAAAACATAAAAAAGTTAGGTTACAAGCTGTCATATGTCAAAATTAAATATAACGATTTCTTGATAAATGTTAAAATGATCTTGATAAGAATCAAAAATGCTTTAATTTGATACCAAATACGATATATTTGGGTAAAAAAATAAAAAAGTTAGATTAGAAACTGTCAAATGTCAAAATTAAACACAACGATTTTTTGAGAAATATTGAAGTGATATTGTTAAGAATCGAAAATGCTTTCATTTGATACCAAACGTGATATGTTTACGTTAATAAATAAAAAAGTTAGGTTATAACTGTCAAATGTCAAATAACTGCCATTTTTTTTTGTTAAAAATTAAAATATGTCGATAACGGTTGAAGATAAATAGGTCGAGTTTCGGTTCATTTTAAAGGATTTTTAATTTTCTATTCATTAATTTGATACCAAATATGATATATTTGAATAAGAAAATAAAAAAGTTAGGTTAGAAACTGTCAAATGTCAAAATTGAATATAACGATTTTTTGAAAAATATTGAAATAAACCTAACAAGAATCAAAAATGCATTAATTTCATACCAAACATGATATATTTGGATAAAAAAATAAAAAAGTTAGGTTAGAAGCTGTCAAATGTCAAAATTAAATATAACGATTTATACACTATCTAACGTAATTAACTTAATTATTATCTTAAACTCCAATATTATAAGTATAGGGAAAGTGACCAACTTAAATCTGGGGGGGGAAAAAAGTTACCAGATTTAGGTTGGTATTGGAAAAGTAACTAAATGTGGTGATTTTTTTTTAAAAATCTCCAAAACCGGCATTTTTATACTATTTATCTTAATTAATTAATTTTTTTTAGGTTCGCGATTTAAGCATTGCTTATGGACTGGTTCTTTTCACCTATTTATTCGTTGGGGTTTTCTTCTACATTTGTTTTCCTTTGGCTAAATCGTGCATTGAAGATGTAAGATAAAAAATCATAATCACAAAAACCAAATCTAATTAATTTTTTTTTAGAACCTTTTAAACAACTTCCCTCAATATGACCCAATGACAATTGGGGCAAGAGTTTTATTATTATTCCAATTATTTACTGTATTTCCCTTGATGGCTTTTATGTTACGCTTGGATATTTTCAACAATTTCAAGGCGATCTTCACCGAGACGAAATCAACCGAGTTTAGTTATTTTCGCGTAATCGTTTTGAACGTAATCTTGGTGATAGTTTGCGTGTTATTCGCGTGTTTCCTGCCGAAAATTGGAACGTTAATTAGGTTGGTTATAAACGAAATAAAATTAATTAATTTAATTTGTTTGTTATTTTGTTTTAGATATACCGGAGCTTTAAGTGGAATGGTTTACGTTTTTACGCTCCCGAGTTTAATGAAAATGTCCGCGTTGAAGAACGAGAAAGCTCTAAGTCCTTTGAAGATTATTTTATACGTGACCATTATTGTTATTGGCGTTTTAAATTTTTGCTCGCAATTCTTTATCGCCGATGGTTAATTTGGACCAATTCGTCATTTTCTCGTTTATTCATAACGTTATTTATTTTCTTAGAATAGATTGTCATTAATTTTTTTTGTTCGTTTGTAATCATTGTTCTTCAATATTAATTGATTTCATTTGTATCGGAGTTTTAACTTTCAAAATTACCACAAAATGTTCCTTTTCTTACTTACCATATTTTTTCTGCGACATTTTCCAAAACTGGATACATCTGCTGCAACAAGAAAGCAGAAAGATAAATATAGTAGTAAATGACTAACTACTGCCGGCAAAAAACTAGATAATGTTGCAACTACTAGATACTGCTGATAGGAAATTAGAACTCTTATGAATATTGAAATGATCTTAACAAGAATTAAAAATGCTTTAATTTGATACCAAACATGATATATTTGGGTAAAAAAAATAAAAAAGTTAGGTTAGAAACTGTCAAATGTCAAATTAGTTATAACAATTTTTTGATAAATATTGAAATGATATTAATAAGAAACAAAAGTGCTTTAATTTGATACCAAACATGATATATTTGAGTTAAAAAATAAAAAAGTTAGGTTAGAAGCTGTTAAATGTCAAAATTAAATATAACGATTTTTTGAGAAATATTGAAATGAACCCAATAAGAAGCAAAAATGCTTTAATTTGATACTAAACATGACATATTTGGGTTAAAAATAAAAAAGTTAGGTTAGAAACTGTCAAATGTCAAAATTAAATATAACGATTTTTTGAGAAATATTGAAATGGACCTAACAAGAATCAGAAATGCTTTCATTTGATACTAAACATGATATATTTGGGTTAAAAAATAAAAAAGTTAGGTTAGAAACTGTCAAATGTCAAAATTAAATATAACGATTTTTTGATAAATATTGAAATGATCTTAATAAGAATCAAAAATGCTTTAATTTGATACCAAACATGATATATTTGGGTTAAAAAATAAAAAAGTTAGGTTAGAAACTGTCAAATGTCAAAATTAAATATATCGATTTTTAGATAAATATTGAAATAAACCTAATAAGAATCAAAAATGCCATTAATTTGAAACCAAACCCGATATATTTGGGTTAAAAAATAAAAAAGTTAGGTTAGAAACTGTCAAATGTCAAATTAATTATAACATTTTTTTGATAAATATTGAAATGATATTAATAAGAATCAAAAATGCTTTAATTAGATACCAAACATGACATATTTGGGTTAAAAAATAAAAAAGTTAGGTTAGAAGCTGTTAAATGTCAAAATTAAATATAACGATTTTTTGAGAAATATTGAAATGGACCTAACAAGAATCAGAAATGCTTTCATTTGATACTAAACATGATATATTTGGGTTAAAAAATAAAAAAGATAGGTTAGAAACTGTCAAATGTCAAAATTAAATATACCGATTTTTTGATAAATATTGAAATGATCTTAATAAGAATCAAAAATGCTTTAATTTGATACCAAACATGATATATTTGGGTTAAAAAATAAAAAAGTTAGGTTAGAAACTGTCAAATGTCAAAATTAAATATAACGATTTTTTGAGAAATATTGAAATGGACCTAACAAGAATCAGAAATGCTTTCATTTGATACTAAACATGATATATTTGGGTTAAAAAATAAAAAAGATAGGTTAGAAACTGTCAAATGTCAAAATTAAATATATCGATTTCTTGATAAATGTTAAAATGATCTTGATAAGAATCAAAAATGCTTTCATTTGATACCAAACATGATATATTTGGGTTAAAAAATAAAAAAGTTAGGATAGAAACTGTCAAATGTCAAAATTAAATATATCGATTTTGTGGTAAATATTGAAATGGTCTTAACAAGAATCAAAAATGCTTTAATTTGATACCAAACACGATATATTTGGGTAAAAAAATATCAAAGTTAGGTTAGAAGCTGTCAAATGTCAAAATTAAATATAACGATTTTTTGATAAATACTGAAATGATCCTAACAAGAATCAAAAATGCTTTAATTTGATACCAAACATGATATATTTGGTTTAAAAAATAAAAAAGTTAGGTTAGAAACTGTCAAATGTCAAAATTAAATATAACGATTTTTTGATAAATATTGAAGTGATATTGTTAAGAATCGAAAATGCTTTCATTTGATACCAAATGTGATACGTTTACGTTAATAAATAAAAAAGTTAGGTTATAACTGTCAAATGTCAAATAATCGCCATTTTTTTTTGATAAAAATTAAGATATCTCGATAACGGTTAGAGATAAATAGGTCGAGTTTGGGTTCATTTTAAAGCATTTTTAATTTTCTATCCATTTATGAAATTATCTTAATTAGAATCAAGAATGTTTTCATTTGATACCAAACATGATATATTTGGGTTAAAAAATAAAAAAGTTAGGTTAGAAACTGGCAAATGTCAAAATTAAATATAACGATTTTTTGATAAATATTGAAATGATCTTAATAAGAATCAAAAATGCTTTAATTTGATACCAAACATGATATATTTGTGTTAAAAATTAAAAAAGTTAGGTTAGAAACTGTCAAATGTCAAAATGAAATATAACGATTTTTTGATAAATATTGAAATGATATTGTTAAGAATCGAAAATGCTTTCATTTGATACCAAACGTGATATGTTTACGTTAATAAATAAAAAATTTAGGTTATAACTGTCAAATGTCAAATAATCGCCATTTTTTTTTGTTAAAAATTAAGATATCTCGATAACGGTTAGAAATAAATAGGTCGAGTTTGGGTTTATTTTAAAGGATTTTTAATTTTCTATACATTTATGAAATGATCTTAAAATCAAAAATGTTTTCATTTGATACCAAACATGATATATTTGGGTTAAAATTAAAAAAGTTAGGTTACAAACTGTTAAATGTCAAATTAATTATAACGATTTTTGGATAAATATTGAAATGATCTTACCAAGAATCAAAAATGCTTTAATTTGATACCAAACATGATATATTTGGTTTAAAAAATAAAAAAGTTAGGTTAGAAACTGTCAAATGTCAAATTAATTACAACAATTTTTTGATAAGTATTTAAATGATATTAATAAGAATCAAGAATGCTTTAATTTGATATCAAACACGATATATTTAGGAAAAAAAATATCAAAGTTAGGTTAGAAGCTGTCAAATGTCAAAATTAAATATAACGATTTCTTCATAAATGTTGAAATGATCTTGTTAAGAATCAAAAATGCTTTCATTTGATACCAAACATGATATATTTGGGTAAAAAAATAAAAAAGTTAGGTTACAAACTGTCAAACGTCAAATTAATTACAACAATTTTTTGATAAATATTGAAATGATATTAATAAGAATCAAAAATGCTTTAAATTGATATCAAACACGATATATTTGGGAAAAAAAATATCAAAGTTAGGTTAGAAGCTGTCAAATGTCAAAATTAAATATAACGATTTCTTGATAAATGTTGAAATGATCTTGTTAAGAATCAAAAATGCTTTCATTTGATACCAAACGTGACATATTTGGGTTAAAAATAAAAAAAGTTCGATTAGAAACTGTCAAATGTCAAAATTAAATATAATAATTTTTTAAAAAATATTAAAATGAACTTAATAAGAATCAAAAATGCTTGAATTTGATACTAAACACGATATATTTGGGTTAAAAAATAAAAAAGTTTGGTTAGTAACTGTCAAATGTCAAAATTAAATATATCAATTTTTTGATAAATATTGAAATGATCTTAACAAAAATCAAAAATGCTTTAATTTGATACCAAACACGATATATTTGGGTTAAAAAATAAAAAAGTTAGGTTGGAAACTGTCAAATGTCAAATTAATTACAACAATTTTTTGATAAATATTGAAATGATCTTGTTAAGAATCAAAAATGCTTTCATTTGATACCAAACGTGATATATTTGGGTTAAAAATAAAAAAGTTAGATTAGAAACTGTCAAATGTCAAAATTAAATATGATAATTTTTCAAAAAATATTAAAATGAACTTAATAAGAATCAAAAATGCTTGAATTTGATATCAAACATGATATATTTAGGTAATAAAATAAAAAAGTTAGGTTAGAAACCGTCAAATGTCAAAATTAAATATAACGATTTTTTGAATAACATTAAAATGAACCTAATAAGAATCAAAAATGCTTTAATTTGATACCAAACACGATATATTTGGGTAAAAAAATAAAAAAGTTAGGTTAGAAACTGTCAAATGTCAAAATTAAATATATCGATTTTTTGATAAATATTGAAATGATCTTAACAAGAATCAAAAATGCTTTAATTTGATACCAAACATGATATATTTGGGTTAAAATGAAAAAAATTAGGTTAGAAACTGTCAAATGTCAAATTAATTATAACGATTTTTCGATAAATATTAAAATAGTATTGATAAGAATCAAAAACGCTTTAATTTGATACCAAACATGATATGTTTACGTTAAAAAATAAAAAAGTTAGGTTATAACTGTCAAATGTCAAATAATCGCCATTTTGTTTTGATAAAAATTAAGATATCTCGATAACCGTTAGAGATAAATAGGTCGAGTTTGGGTTCATTTTAAATGATTTTTAATTTTCTATCCATTTATGAAATTATCTTAATTAGAATCAAGAATGTTTTCATTTGATACCAAACATGATATATTTGGGTTAAAAAATAAAAAAGTTAGGTTAGAAACTGGCAAATGTCAAAATTAATTATAACGATTTTTTGATAAATATTGAAATGATATTAATAAGAATCAAAAATGCTTTAATTTGATATCAAACATGATATATTTAGGTAAGAAAATAAAAAAGTTAGGTTACAAACTGCCAAATGTTACAATTAAATATGACGATTTTTTGAAAAATATTAAAATGAACCTAATAAGAATCAAAAATGCTTTAATTTGATACCAAACACGATATATGTGGGTTAAAAATTAAAAAAGTTAGGTTAGAAACTGTCAAATGTCAAAATGAAATATAACGATTTTTTGATAAATATTGAAATGATATTGTTAAGAATCGAAAATGCTTTCATTTGATACCAAACGTGATATGTTTACGTTAATAAATAAAAAAAATTAGGTTATAACTGTCAAATGTCAAATAATCGCCATTTTCTTTTTTTTTAAATTAAGATATCTCGATAACGGTTGGAGATAAATAGGTAGAGTTTGGGTTCATTTTAAAGGATTTTTAATTTTCTATCTATTTATAAAATGATTTTAATTAGAATCAAAAATGTTTTTATTTGATACCAAACATGACATATTTGAGTTAAAGAGTAAAAAAGTTCAGTTAGAAACTGTCAAATGTTAAAATTAAATATTACGATTTTTTGATAAATATTGAAATGATCCCAATAAGTATCAAAAATGTTTTCATTTGATACCAAACATGATATATTTGGGTTAAAAATAAAAAAGTTAGGTTAGAAACTGTCAAATGTCAAAATTAAATATATCGATTTTTTGATAAATATTGAAATGGTTTTAACAAGAATCAAAAATGCTTTAATTTGATACCAAACACGATATATTTGGGTAAAAAAGATAGGTTAGAAACTGTCAAAAGTCAAAACGAAATATAACGATTTTTTGAAATATATTAAAATGAACCTAATAAAAATCCAAAATGCTTTAATTTGACACCAAACACGATATATTTGGGTAAAAAAATATCAAAGTTAGGTTAGAAACTGTCAAATGTCAAAATTAAACATAACGATTTCTTGATAAATGTTAAAGTGATCTTGATAAGAATCAAAAATGCTTTAATTTGATACCAAACATGATATAGTTGGGTTAAAAAACAAAAAAGTTAGGTTAGAAACTGTCAAATGTCAAAATTAAATACAACGATTTTTTGAGAAATATTGAAATGAACCTAATAAGAATCAAAAATGCTTTAATTTGATACCAAACATGATATATTTGGATAAAAAAATAAAAAAGTTAGGTTAGAAGCTGTCAAATGTCAAAATTAAATATAACGATTTTTTGATAAATATTGAAGTGATATTGTTAAGAATCGAAAATGCTTTCATTTGATACCAAACGTGATATGTTTACGTTAATAAATAAAAAAATTTAGGTTATAACTGTCAAATGTCAAATAATCGCCATTTTTTTTGTTAAAAATTAAGATATCTCGATAACGGTTGGAAATAAATAGGTCGAGTTTGGGTTCATTTTAAAGGATTTTTGATTTTCTATCCATTTATGAAATGATCTTAATAAGAATCAAGAATGTTTTTATTTGATAGCAAACACGATATATTTGGATAAAAAAATAAAAAAGCTAGGTTAGAAACTGTCAAATATCAAAATTAAATATAGCGATTTTTTGATAAATATTGAAATGATCCTAACAAGAATCAAAAATGCTTTAATTTGATACCAAACACAATATATTTGGGTTAAAAAATAAAAAGTTAGGTTAGAAACTGTCAAATGTCAAAATTAAATATAACGATTTTTTGAAATATATTAAAATGAACCTAATAAAAATCCAAAATGCTTTAATTTGATACCAAACACGATATATTTGGGTAAAAAAATATCAAAGTTAAGTTAGAAGCTGTCAAATGTCAAAATTAAATATAACGATTTTTTGATAAATATTGAAATGATCCTAACAAGAATCAAAAATGCTTTAATTTGATACCAAACACGATGTATTTGGGTTAAAAAATGAAAAAGTTAGGTTAGAAACTGTCAAATGTCAAAATTAAACAACGATATTTTGAAAAGTATTGAAGTGATATTGTTAAGAATCGAAAATGCTTTCATTTGATACCAAACGTGATATGTTTACGTTAATAAATAAAAAAAGTTAGGTTATAACTGTCAAATATCAAATAATCGCCATTTTTTTTGTTAAAAATTAAGATATCTCGATAACGGTTGGAAATAAATAGGTCGAGTTTGGGTTCATTTTAAAGGATTTTTGATTTTCTATCCATTTATGAAATGATCTTAATAAGAATCAAGAATGTTTTTATTTGATAGCAAACACGATATATTTGGATAAAAAAATAAAAAAGCTAGGTTAGAAACTGTCAAATATCAAAATTAAATATAGCGATTTTTTGATAAATATTGAAATGATCCTAACAAGAATCAAAGATGCTTTAATTTGATACCAAACACGATATATTTGGGTTAAAAAATAAAAAAGTTTGGTTAGTAACTGTCAAATGTCAAAATTAAATATATCATTTTTTTGATAAATATTGAAATGATCTTAACAAGAATCAAAGATGCTTTCATTTGATACCAAACATGATATATTTGGGTTAATAAATAAAAAAGTTAGGTTATAACTGTCAAATGTCAAATAATCGCCATTTTTTTTTGTAAAAATTAAGATATCTCGATAACGGTTAGAGATAAATAGGTCGAGTTTGGGTTCATTTTAAAGGATTTTTAATTTTCTATCCATTTATGGAATGATCTTAATAAGAATCAAGAATGTTTTCATTCGATACCAAACATGACATATTGTTAGCAAAAGACTGAATCTTGCTGGTAGAATACTAGATATTGCTAGTAGATACTGCAAACGGGAGACTAGATACTCACTAGATATTCGGAGATTCTACTTACTGTTGACAGAGGGTAGATATTGCTAACAGAAGACTTGATGATATTGTTGTAGCGCAGTTAGAAGGATAGATATTGATAGCAGATGATTAAATATTGTTGGATGAAGATTTTAACAAAATATTATTAATTATTTCTATTAAAAGTCTTGTCTCCAAGGACAGCTTAGTCTCTTTGTTTGCTACAAATCTTCTTTGTTACATACATACATACATGCTATATCATCTATAATCTTTGTTATTGCCCTCTTTTTGTTAACTAACCTTTTTCTTTCTAGTTTTGTGTTTATGTGAATCCTGGCCCGTTCCAGAAGTTAAAATACAAGTTAAATTACAAAAGAATTTACCTTTTTTATGTTTTTCTGGATGTTATCTGACAGTTCTCTTGACATATAAGATTTCAATACAAAAACTTTTGACGTTCTTACAAATGTCATTTTCTTATTTGTTACCAACCACTAAAATATAAAGTTTTTTATGAGTATGTTCCTTAATTAATTAAGATTTATGAGTTTAATTTAATTTTTTTCGGTATCAAACATACATTTTTTAATTATTGTATAAAATAGAATTTTTTATCATTAATTTAAGAAATAAATTTTCGCTTCAAAATAAATTCCTGTAATACCTACAATAAATGAGTACTTAGAAAATTAGAATATAGATGGCGCCTAACTCATTTAATTTAAAAAATCCCTTTTTTTTTTAATTTAATGTAAACAAAGAGTTGTTATTGCATTTAGATAAACTTTGTCAGTATCTTATCGTTATTTATTTCCAAATATGTTTTACGAGGACGAAATTAAAAACATAACCTCAAACGCATACCTGTGTCACCTGGATAGCCTTGCGACATCGCCTTTGACAGTGCTCCACGTCCTCAAATGCACGTCTCGTTCGGGAATCTTGGTGTTTAATTATTATTTAATCCAAAACTCTAAAAAAAACAATAAACAATTACATTAATCACTAAAATTGAATCAAAAAGAAGAGAAAAAAAAATCTTTTTGAAAATGTCTTCGTCACTTTGGAACATTAAGGTAAGTTAATTAAAACAATTTTTAAACAATTTATTATTAATTTTTGTGTTATTGTGGTTTTGTAAATCCCCACCGCGATTGCGTCGAAAAATCGACCCAACTCCGTTACGCAAAGAAAAGGAAAAAACATAACATCACACAGTTTAAAAATAAACAGTTTTACAGCGATTTGAGGCATAAAAGACGTCCTCGCTTAATTTAAGATTAAAATTTAACTCAATAGCAATGCAGAGTAATATTTCGAAATTAATAAATTCGGTTCATCGACAGTTGGGACCTGATAGCTTGGAAATGAAGGAGTTAGCTGCAAGAATTTGTAGGGATTATCTAAATGGGCCGTGGAAACAAGTTTCTGCTCAAAATATTGGATTTAATCATATTAGGTGAGTTATTTATCACGCAATTTCATTGAATCAAGGTCTTTTAGTTCAGTTGTTAAAAATAGTTTCGAAACATAAATAAAGTCATTATCTCAAAAATGTTTTGTTTACTCCTAATCGGTATAATTTTTTTTTAAAGCGGCGGCCTCTCAAATCTCCTCTACCACATATCTCTCCCGGAAACCCCTCAACAACGCCAACACCCAAAAAAGAAATCCCAAGACCCTACAAGCGTTTTAATCCGAGTTTATGGACCAACTCACGGCGATCGCGGTATCGAGCATATGATTACAGAGAGTGTTATCTTCACGTTATTATCTGAAAGAGGTTTAGGACCGAAATTGTACGGTTTATTTCCAGGGGGGCGAATCGAGCAATACATAAACGCGCGCCCTTTGCAAACTCGCGAACTTTCCGATCCGAAATTAACCCATTTAATCGCGAAAAAAATGGCTTCGATACATTCGATGGAAGTTCCGCTCCAAAAAGAACCCGGATGGTTGTGGGAGACCATCGATAAATGGCTCAAAAGGACCGAATTGATTTTAAGTAGCGATAAAGTCCCGGATTTGGCGAAAATCTTAACCCAAATCGATTATAAAGAGGAAGTCGGGTGGTTGAAGAAACGAATTGACATGGAGAATTGTCCGGTTGTTTTTTGCCACAACGATATGCAAGAGGGGAATATTTTGATAAAACAAGACGTGAACGATAATGAAGGGGACGTAAAATTAGTTTTAATCGATTTCGAGTACTGTTCGTATAATTACCGATCGTACGATTTAGCGAATCATTTTATAGAGTACACTTATGATTACACGGAAGAAAGCCCGCCTTTGTACAAAGAAAATTTTGAAAATTATCCCTCCGTTCAACAAAGATTAGCGTTTATTAACTCGTATTTAGAGGAGACTAGGAAAAATGAGGATCCGCAAAAAATTTTAAAAGAAGTTCATACTTTTACGATGGCCACGCATTTCTTTTGGTGCTTATGGAGTATAGTTAACACCGAAATGCCCGTAATTCCATTCGGATATTGGGTAAAATTGATTAAATAATTAAGTTAAATTAATTCATTAAAAAAAATTAATTTTAGGAATACGCAGTGTCAAGAATGAACGGTTATTTAAGGACGAAAGAGGAATTGAAGCCTTCATCGGTGGCGGTTAAGCGAAAATCGTCCGAATTGGATTTATAATAATAAAAGCATTGATAAAATCCCGATAATAATCTAATTTAAAAAAACAAGTGACTTAATTTTATTTGTCCATTTGCTTTGTTTTATTTTTGTTTTCATAGTTTTTTCAGAATAAATTTTGAAATTAAAACCGATTTTACCGTCGAAGACTGATTACAGCGACGGGGCTTTGCGTATTTCTTTAAAACGAATTTAACCTATACACACACTGTACTTGTTAATAAATCAATAAAAATTTGTTTAAATTCTCTTATTGTTATTATAAAATTAATTATTAATTAAAATTGGTGACGTTTCGTTAAAAAAAAAGCACCCCCATCTAACGGCGAATTTAGAAACTATCATAGAGGTAGGTAAAAATTATTATGCGTTTTGTTCGCTAGATGGAGTTATAATTAAAATAATATAATTAAATGCTACAAAAAAACTTTTAGAACGAAAGTTGTAGCTAATTTTATTCTTAACAATATTGCTCTCTTTCATTTTTGCTCTCAAATGCGTCAATTTCGAAAAAAATACGAAAATGTTGAAGTTTAATGAATTTCGTGGTTTTACTATTAGCTAATGGTAAAATTCGGGAATTGAAGCATGTTATAAAAAAACTTTTACAACAAAAGTTGTAGGTAATCTTATTCTTAACAATATTGCTCTCTTTCATTTTTGCTCTTAGATGCGTCAATTTCGAAAAAAATACGAAAATCTTAAAATTTAATGAATTTCGTGGTTTTACTATTAGCTAATGGTAAAACTCGGGAATCGAAGACCGTTACAAAAAAATTTTTAGAACAAAAGTTGTAGCTAATCTTATTCTTAACAATATTGCTCTCTTTCATTTTTACTCTCAAATGCGACAATTTCGAAAAAAATACGAAAATCTTCAAATTTTATGAATTTCGTGCTTTTACTATTAGCTAATGGTAAAATTCGGGAATCGAAGAATGTTACAAAAAAACTTTTCGAACAAAAGTTGTAGCAAATATTATTCTTAACAATATTGCTCTCTTTCATCTTTGCTCTCAGATGCGTCAATTTCGAAAAAAATACGAAAATCTTAAAATTTAATGAATTTCGTGCTTTTACTATTAGCTAATGGTAAAATTCGGGAATTGAAGCATGTTACAAAAAAACTTTTCGAACAAAAATTGTAGCAAATATTATTCTTAACAATATTGCTCTCTTTCATCTTTGCTCTCAGATGCGTCAATTTCGACAAAAATACGAAAATCTTAAAATTTAATGAATTTCGTGCTTTTACTATTAGCTAATGGTAAAATTCGGGAATCGAAGAATGTTACAAAAAAATTTTTAGAACAAAAGTTGTAGCTAATTTTATTCTTAACAATATTGCTCTCTTTCATTTTTGCTCTCAAATGCGTCAATTTCGAAAAAAATACGATAATGTTAAAATTTGATGAATTTCGTGGTTTTACTATTAGCTAATGGTAACATTCGGGATTCGAAGAATGTTACAAAAAAACTTTTAGAACGAAAGTTGTAGCTAATCCCATTCTTAACAATATTGCTCTCTTTCATTTTTGCTCTCAGATGCGTCAATTTCGAAAAAAATACGAAAATTTCAAAATTTGATGAATATCGTGGTTTTACTATTAGCTAATGGTAACATTCGGGAATCGAAGAATGTTACAAAAAAACTTTTAGAACGAAAGTTGTAGCTAATCTTATTCTTAACAATATTGCTCTCTTTCATTTTTGCTCTTTGATGCGTCAATTTAAAAAAAAAAACGAAAATCTTAAAATTTGATGAATTTCGTGGTTTTACTACAGCTAATGGTAACATTCGGGAATCGAAGCATGTCACAAAAAAACTTTTAGAACGAAAGTTGTAGCTAATCTTATTCTTAACAATATTGCTCTCTTTTATTTTTGCTCTCTGATGCGTCAATTTCGAAAAAAATAGGAAAATATGAAAATTTGATGAATTTCGTAGTTTTACTATGAGCTAATGGTAACATTCGGGAATCGAAGAATGTTACAAAAAAACTTTTAAAACAAAAATTGTAGTTAATCGTATTCTTAACAATATTACTCTCTTTCATTTTTGCTCTCAAATGCGTTAATATCGAGAAAAATACGAAAATATGAAAGTTTGATGAATTTCGTTGTTTTACTATCAGCTAATGGTAACACTCGGGAATCCAAGAATGTTACAAAAAAAACTTGTAGAACGAAAGTTGTAGCAAATATTATTCTTAACAATATTGCTCTCTTTCATTTTTGCTCTCAGAAGCGTCAATTTAGAAAAAAATACGAAAATGTAAAAATTTGATGAATTTCGTGGTTTTACTATTAGCTAATGGTAAAATTCGGGCATTGAAGCATGTTATAAAAAAACTTTTAGAACAAAAATTGTAGCTAATTTTATTCTTAACAATATTTCTCTCTTTCATTTTTGCTCTTTGATGCGTCAATTTCGAAGAAAATATGAAAATCTTAAAATTTGATGAATTTCGTGGTTTTACTATTAGCTAATGGTAACATTCAGGAATCGAAGAATGTTACAAAAAAACATTTAGAACAAAAATTGTAGCTAATCTTATTCTTAACAATATTGCTCTTTTTCATTTTTGCTCTCTGATGCGTCAATTTAAAAAAAAATACGAAAATCTTAAAATTTGATGAATTTCGTGGTTTTACTACTAGGTAATGGTAACATTGGGGAATCGAAGCATGTCACAAAAAAACTTTTAGAACGAAAGTTGTAGCTAATCTTATTCTTAACAATATTGCTCTGTTTCATTTTTGCTCTCTGATGCGTCAATTTCGAAAAAAATACGAAAATTTTAAAATTTGATGAATTTCGTTGTTTTATTATTAGCTAATGGTAACATACGGGAATCGAAGAATGTTACAAAAAAACTTTTAGAACGAAAGTTGTAGCTAATCTTATTCTTAACAATATTGCTCTCTTTCATTTTTGCTCTTTGATGCGTCAATTTCGAAGAAAATACGAAAATCTTAAAATTTGATGAATTTCGTGGTTTTGCTATTAGCTAATGGTAACACTCGGGAACCGAAGCATGTTACAAAAAAACTTTTAGAACAAAAATTGTAGCTAATCTTATTCTTAACAATATTGCTCTCTTTCATTTTTGCTCTCAGATGCGTCAATTTAGAAAAAAATACGAAAATGTAAAAATTTGATGAATTTCGTGGTTTTACTATTAGCTAATGGTAAAATTCGGGAATTGAAGCATGTTATAAAGAAACTTTTAGAACAAAAATTGTAGCTAATTTTATTCTTAACAATATTGCTCTCTTTCATTTTTGCTCTTAGATGAATCAATTTCGAAAAAAATACGAAAATGTTAAAATTTGATGAATTTCGTGATTTTACTATAAGCTAATGGTAACATTCGGGAATCGAAGGATGTTACAAAAAAACTTTTAGAACGAAAGTTGTAGCAAATATTATTCTTAACAATATTGTTCTCTTTCACTTTTGCTCTCAGATGCATAAATACCGAGAAAAGTGTGAATATATTAAAATTAGATGAATATAGAGGTGTCCCATGTGAGCAAAGTACATAAATGGCATTAACCCGAACCGAGATATACATTCCTTCCTTAGAGAAACGGAAAATAACATACAGGGTGTACCGTAACGCTGTACTGATATAAACATGTGTTATTTTAAATGAAATGATATATTTGTTTTGATTAAGCTATATTCGATGATCTCGGTCAACTCGAATACAACGACTATGTCATTTCGACACAATAAAAAATTTAAAATAATAGCGTTTGTTAATAGCGTTTATCTTTAACTGTATAAAGTGTAGCGCCTCGCCCACAAGCGACCTTGATTTAAATAGAATATATTGCGATCTTTATTATGTAATTAAATAAAATTAAAAAATATATATTTGACTATTTTAGTATAACACTCACCCACAATTACAATTTCTCCATTAATTTCCAGGTTGTAGTTGCATGGTTCCGGTCCATCCCAAAGAACTTAATACCCTATTGGACAATAAAAATTAATAATATATTAGTAAAAAATAATAAAGAAATATTTTTAATAATAATTTATTCTAAATTCAAGTTATAAACTCGTCGCGAATAAAAAAGGACTCGTTTGGCAACGATAACCTTGATAGAGAGAGACTCTGAGAATATTAAGATGGGAGTTTTAACGAAGAAAATTTTTAATAAAGTGTTGTAGCAACAAAAGTGTTTAAAAAAAAAAGAAAAATCGTGACTTGAAACGTCTCTTTTTGAGTCGTTTCTTTATTTGGACTCGAACAGTTATTAATAAACGTGCCTTTTTCTAAGAAAAATCGATGAGACTCACTATTTTGAGTACAAGAAAGGTTAGTTATACTTTAATTCGTATTTTTATTTATTTATTTATTGATTAAACGATCATTTTTCGTTAACGTCAAAGTGCGATATTGTTTCCTAGGAATTAATTGAATTTAAAATTTGACACCAAACTAATTTCCTCATTTTTATTTTCGCTTTTTTCAATAAAACCCCCAACCAACAACATGCTTCTCATTTGAAACGACAAGAAATTCACCTCGAAATCCGAAAAAGTTGACACAAACTTTGGAAAAATGTTGCTTTTGTTGCTAAGCTGGGCCTCAACGTGGCCGCTGATGGCGATTTTTTACCGGATATTCTCTGTTTTAGACTCGGAATGCCGCGAAGGAGACGTAATCGCAACCAAAAGCGGCGTGCCAGATACGATTTCAGAGGGATGGGAGGCAACGGCGGAAGAAATGGAAAAGGAAACGAGGACGAAACGCCAAAATCGACGTCGAAGGCGCCGGAAGGTCTGCCCAACGACCTCATGACCCTCGATTTACTTAACGACACTTTACAGGGGATTAACCAACAACTTCATCAACAACACCTAGCTATCGAAGCGGAAAAAAACAACGAATTGAATCAAAAAATGTAAGAAAAATCTATTTAAATCAAAAAATTATTAAGATTAGCAGTCCCTCTTAAAAATCGATGTTTTTTTTTAATCGGTAGGAAATAGGGATGCAACATCGCTCATAAAAACATCGATATTAGAACATAAGCGACAAATAATAATAATAATAACTTTATTATCATAAATTTAATCACTAAAACTAGAGACAAAATGATGACGAAATAATCTAGAGTTTGATTTCGTACTTTTAAACTGGTTTTTATTTTATATAGAATTTAAATCTAACCAGTTTCGGCCCTAGGCCATCTTCAGAGACTCTATAAATAGATTAACATCACTCATC